GATCCAGGCCAGGATGCCACTGGCCTTAATCAAGTATTTACATGCAAGTCTCTCTATCTCTAAACAGATACGGGAAATGTGCTTCCTCTGTGAACATGGCATTTGAAAGACTAAAGCACCTATATTTTAAATAAGTTGTCATATTTCATGAAGTATTACTCTGTTTCAACAGTTATCAGTTCTTTAACTTCTCTACGAATAGAGGAATAAGCAAGAAAAATTCAGACAGCAGTGTCTGCAGAATTGTACCTCTGTCCTATATATTCTCTCTAATATCTATACATCAGCCATATATTAACACAGTTTACATACTTTGAAGACTGTTATGCACACGGGGTATTTACAGACACCAAAATTTCATTTATTGTGTAACTTGTGAACCTACTCCTAAGGTGCTTTAGGTCTACTGATTCTGAAATGAACAATCTTTCTGAGTCAGACATAAATGCTGGCTTATACAGCTTCTTACTGGCAATGTAATTCTGAATTTCCAATAGACAGAAGTAGATAAAGGGGAACCTTCCCCTACCAACAATTTTTCTTTAAACACATGCGCCAGTGCTAATCACACATCTATTAAAGTACAGGACTTCAGAACTTGTATCAGCAAACAATAAGAAAGATTAAAGTCAAGATGCGATCATCTTTTTTCCACTGACAAGCTGATATGAGTGTATTGGGGGCTCCAAGTAAGTAACTCTGACCCTCTGAAATATATGCTGCTTCCAACTCTTTTAGATTTTTTAGGCAAAAATGGTTGGATTTTTTCACCTGTACTGATGTCCTGATACTGAATCAAAGGTTACATCCAGAAATGTATTACAAGCCTTTTTTCAAATTCAAACTTCAGACACTATCAAATCCTGTGTTTCCATATTTATTCTGTGACAATACTTTCAGAAACTAAAACTTCAGAGCAAAAGTAGGCTTCCCTGAGACACTGTCCTAGAAATAGGAATTCAAGTAACTGTGCAGCACCTTAATTACAACTTTCAGATCAGCTAAGTGTTAGCTTTGGCTAAGCATCAGAAATATAGGTGGGAATTCACTATGCTCTGTCAGATAGCTTCAGAAGCAATGAGAACCAGAACCAGATAGGAACTGGCAAGCAACCAGGCCTCACAAGAGTTTACAGACACTTAAAACTTGCTCCATGGTACCAATCTGATGGCCAGTGCTGGAATATAGGTCTGTTTATCCTGACTCCATTGATATTCACTTTGGAGAGGGGAATAGGACATGCCTTCTGCCACAGAGAAAGTTGTGCCTTGTCCTTCAGCATTGCCTTATACAGGCTGCTTCATCCTAAGAGCTTCAATTTTCATGAGAATTGGAAGAAAAAGTACCTGTGTACTGCAGAGAACAGCATACATGTGTATTATATCCAAGGCCATTTTATAAAAGGAAATTGAGGGAATTACAATGCACATCTATAAAATAGCCAGTATATCTAAAATGATACTTGAAATTCTATTCTCTCTAATATGCAATTAAGTTTGAAAGAACGTATTTTGAAAAACTTTCCATGTAACACTAAAATTTATTTTAAAATACAGATCTAGACTCCAGTGAGAAAAGAATTACATATGCAGACTGATCTATTACCATTTTTGGTCTTCCCTAAACACTTACAGTTGTAACACAACAGTAGACCAGCTTCACCATCTTCATATACATCAATAGCTGCAACAAAATTAACCTGAAATGATAAAAGGATAATGAACAGGCAGAGGATACTGTGGTTATTGCAACTGAGTTTTGACTAACAACCAATACAATCAGCTGGGGAAGTGCACAACTACAGATAAAAGAAAACACAAGAAGGAAATAAATAAAGAGTAATTTTCCAAATGCAGCCTCTTTTATTATTAATTTTCAGGATGCTCTCAGATGAAAATCAATTTTTTTGTATTCAGTTCTGTACAGTACTGAACATTCAATACAATACCATCTCCTCAGTGTAAAGCAATAAAAACTTACATAACTTACTTGGCAATTCAAATTTTGGGAAATGGGGTGATTTCAGGAAGCTGTGAGTCAACATAGTATGTTAAAAATAACATCATTTTCCAAAAATGAACTTCATGACTAGCAAAAAGATCAGATACACCAATTACTTGCTCAAAACCACTAACATTTACAGAGGTCAATAGCGATGTACTTCAGGATTAGTGAACAGGCTGGATTTAAAACTGAGAACAAATGCTGGTTAAACCACAGTGGTTTTTACATAAATTAAGCTACCTAAATTCTCATATTTCAACTTTGGTTTTGTCTTTTACAGCTAGATCAAAAAAAAACCCCAAACCAGCCACAAAAAGCAGGGTGTCTGTTCAGGAAAAAAGACCTTATTAGTGAAACACATAAAGTTACATTAGACATTAGCCTCCTAAACTACATATACTACTTGGATGGGGAGCAGAGTTATAGATCGATTCCATGAGCAGCAATTCTTTGACTTTCCTTGGTGCAATAAGCTAGATGTTTACCTCTTGATTTAAATAAACCTGGAAGTTTACATATCTACACCAAATGCCTTTTGATCCATCCTTTGTAGTGACTGAAAGTCCTTTCTGCTCTGTCACCCAGGGAAATAAGTGGGTGCCCCATTTCAGCACCATATAAATAACTGGCTCATCTTATATTAATTGTCTGCTTTGTTAGTGTTCCCAAAGGAAATAAGGATTCCTAGGCAGAAGAGGAATGGGAGTGGGTGGGTGGGGGGATGGTAATGTACTTCTCCATCTCCATTCTTTACTTATAGTTCCTTCTCATCCAGATTAAGATAGATTTCCAGCGCTGTGAAGAAGCTTCCACTATATCACCCATGCTAGGAATACCTCTTCACCACCAGATCCGAATAAAAATACAGATTATGTTAGGAGAAAATATCTTATCAACAAGAACCATCAAATAAAAAGAGCACTCTTATGTCATTATGAGGAAAAGTGTCAGTTAAAAACAAAAAAAACCAACAACCTGTGCAAAATCTTCCTTTTTTGTTTTTCTCCAAATTTAGAAACAAAATTGTCTGGTTTTCATAGATGCTGAAGGTCATTATCTTCCCAGCAGCAGGAAATACTGGAGCTCTTTTCTGAAAATCAAGACATTTGCCTAAATCCCAACTCGATGTTCTAGATAGAAAGATTCATTTATTAGCTGACTGGGCAGCAGCTTCTTAAATAGAATTATAAGCTATGTGTAAATATCTTAGCCACAGTACATGCAAACAGGAAAACCTGTATGAGATACTGGTGGCCATCAACTGAAGTTATTTTGATGCAATTTCTTTAATGACAAAATGCTGATACCACAAAGATAAAGCAAAAAGGAAACTATTGACTAAGAAAGGAGAAGAATATATTTATGATGACAACAATATTCCAGAGCCTGACCCACAGGTTCTTCCCTAATGTGTCCTAACCTAAAACTACCTCTCTTGGGAGTGATTATTATCACACATCCCAAAAGGAACATATATTTCAGAGTGCCCTAAAGCAGTGATTATAGAAGTAAAAAGTAACAGACATGAGGATCTCCACAAATCACACCTCAGGAGGTCAGCACAGGACGCGCTGAGTCTGCAAGAAATTATGTTCAGGAGGGCTCTGTAAGAAAACAGCTTAAATGATGAAAACTTACCTTGTTTGTTTCAATGTGATGCAATCTATAGGACTCCCCTGTACTCTCGTTGACTAAATCAAACTGATGCCGATACGCTACACAGATCATATTGTCACTGTCTCCAGCAGGTCCATCCACCAGCGTCATAACCACTGGAGTGTCAGAAAGGCATATTTCCTATAATGTAAATAGCAGAATTACTCTCTTTTTCATGCTCCTACAGTGGGTATTGCAGGTACCCCATGATTTTAAAAGGATCTGCTCTAAGCACAGAAACATGACAAAGAATAAGCAGAAACCTAATTTTTAAAATCTGAAAGATTTCTCTGGTATATATATGATGGACCTCCATCATATGGCTTCTCACTTTCATTTGCCTGCAGGTTCTTTGTCTTCCTCACATCCCTCACACTAGCTGAATGCTGCCCAGCCTGTAACAGTAATTAGGAACTGGATGACACATACCCGGATGTACTGGAACTCCTCTACTGGAGATTCAGGAGATGATAGCAGAGAGCTGCTGGGGACACTGTTGTGTGGATTGTATTTCTTTGTGATGAGAAGTAGTTTGTTCCGAATAGCCACAACAATCCTCAGTTCACTTCCATGGTGAGTGTTAATGGCATACAAATGGCAGCCTGAGGAAATAATGTTCTATTCTTATCAACCGCTGTAAGTGGTTGGGGTAGGGTCTGATTTTTTTGTTCTATGTTTGTATGATGATTAGTACAACAGGGCTTTGATGCATGACTTAGCAACACAGAATTAAAAACCTCCCAAAAGGGTAACATCAACTTCTAGAAAAAGAAAAGCCTATGACTCTTTTGAAATCTATTTTTACCCTTACTCCTAAATACATGGATTTCTCTATTCTCCAGATTCCATCTTTCCGAAGTAGCTTGCTTCTGAAGACCAGAAAATGTTTATGTCTACTAAAATAATCAGCAACACCCAAACTAATCTAAGCACTACTATTTAATAGAGATTTGCCAGTGTTCCCACACCGTAAAACGTCTTTTATTTCAGGCAAGCATCCCTGCAAAATTCTTCACATATACCTCCTGATCTTGAAATCCTGTTTTCCTCTAAAGTTTTTCAGCAGTAGTAATTGCCAAATAACATGGTGTTTTTACAATATTCTGAAATGTCATACTGGACTGTACAGACTAATTTTCAAATATAAGCTAAATAAAGTTTGAATTGACTGTCCAGAGAAAACACTAGAACACCTACAACTGCCTCAAGTGAGCTATAAGCTCCTAGGAACTACCAGCATCATACCATAGTGGATGTTTTTAACACAGGATAATAAAATCACCTTTTGTTCTCTCCAGTTTATTTTCTCTGCAGTCATATTTGTTTCTTATCATTTGCTTTGTCTCTATATCTTTTTGGACAGCACTGAGTCTGAAGACAAGGAGACGAGAGTCTTTCCCTGATGTATAAAGAGAACCAGGAAACAAGTTAAAAAAAAGCACGTGGTAGTTTGAAATTAATACTTCTAAAGAGAAGCAGCACCTAACAAACAGAGCAAAGATAAGTAAGGCATAATGCTTCCCTGGGGATGAGCCACAACATCATAAAAGACTGCTTATGAACCCTCTAGGCTTTACAGCTGTAGCAATCAACCCCTTCAGTGCAGCAGAAGAGCTTCCCATCAGGTGGTGCTACACCAAAGAATGATCTAAGTGTTTCAAAACAGTAAAATGCACAGTATTTTTGTAAATATGTAAAATCTTGCAGAATAACAAAAATGTAATAGATACAAACTGCAGGGCAAGAGTAAAGGGTTAACTTTAAAAATCTGGAACCATCTGGCTGAGCAGCTGGTAACTGGCTCCTTACCAGAGCTTGAAACCCTTCAGGATGCAGACTGGCTCTGCTTATGAGTTCTTCAAAGGCAGGTAAGTTAGGTTTGAGGCATAGTCCAGCGGCAAAAATTACACAGTATCTACTTCCGCAGCTAATCTGTTTTCCACAAAGATTGATATGAGCGGAATCTACAATCCCTCTCTTTCCAACAATGTGTACCTCATAAGACATACATTCCCAGCAACTGCCAGATTCATACAAAAATCAAAGGACAGAGACATCTCCTACCTCTGTCCGTTTGGGCAATCAAAAGATCCAGAGCTTCCAACACATGCATCTGCTTCATTTGGAGAGTTTTATCAAATACTTGCACTGATGGTTGACCATCTAAAAAAGAAACACACATTTATTAAAAATCCTGCTAAAATTTGCTACTCGCTGGTTTTGAATCATTTCATTTCTTTCTTGTGTAATAAAAGCCTTGTTTTCTTCTTACAAAAGTAAATAATAAAAAAACCCCAAAACAACAAAAACTTGAAGCGCAAAAAACCCCCAAAAGCACAAAGCTGCTACATATACCACAGTATCGTAGCCAACACTTCCTCACAGGAGAGCTTTAAAAGGGACCTTCCTTTGGAAAGTTTGAGAATTATGAACAAGAGCTAACTCATTCCCTCATTCCCGCTGGCCTTACGTGGCACACAGAAGATAAGGGGGCAAAGCAGCAATACTGCAAATGGAAGAAGCAGGCTTCATTGTCACACAAGCCTTTGGCTTCATGCTCACTATCATCAAGGGCTAAAATAATCAGTCAATCCATTTAAGCACTCCTTGAGCCTGGATGCAACTTCCTAATCTTTTCAGAAGGTCAAGAAAACAACATCTGAAATTAGAAAATATTCAGAAAACTGCATTAACATTGGCTCCCTAATATGGCTTAATTCTGGTGCAGAGAGAATTTTTGCAATTAAGTTACATAAATGCAATTTATGGATTAGAAACTATCCCTGTAGGTAAAGGCCTACCAACACCTGAACAGAGTTTATGAACATACATTTTCAAGAAAATGCTCAGATACATAAAAATTGACACAAAAACACTCGATCATTTACTAACCATCTATTAACAAGACGCCAGCATCTGTAGAAACCAGCAAGGACTGGCCCCAAGAATCTGCACAGATAACCTCATGAGGAAAATTACTGCAGAAAGATTGAGATTCCCAAGGCTATGAAGTAACATAAGGGATACATATTAAGCACACTAAGAAATACAGATCATACAGACACAGAATGTGATGGACAATGGCATCTGGCAGGACACATTTCCAAACAGTGTATCTTTTGAATTTGTAATATCAAAATTTAGTTCATTTTCTTGCAGAGGAAATTCTGTATTAATACCAGTTCAGAGACTAGTAAGTGCAAGACACATTCCTGAAACACTGGAATTAAAACACACGCTGCTGATACTCAGTACAACCCTGGAAATACTCGATATGCATTTTATTCAAAAAAATCCAAACCTATAGACTTAAAATACATGTACAACCATGCATACACAATTTATTTACATTTTATGGTTCAGGTTGTGATGTTTAGTCACTAGCACATGGTACAGTTAAAACTGCCTTTCTGTTAAACTGTTCTTTCATTCTGTGTTCTCTGTACTTGCTTCACAGACTCCACCCCTCCTCTCCCAATTATATATTAGCTGAAGTTTTTCAAAATTCCAGAAGCACTTCTGAAGCTTCTGTATATAAAATGCATGCAGAAAAGTGCAGTTTGCATATTTCACTCCCTAATGACCTCAACCAAAAGCACAACTGAGTTTTGTTTTTAACTTGTTAAAATAAAAGATAATTGTAAATGGGAAATGGAACTTTTGTCAAATTTTCCAGATATAAATATGTCCACACTTGCTTTAACTTCAGAAGTGTTTCTGCCTCCAGACTCATATTAATCTCCCATTGACTGCAAAATCACTTTGTCACTATACATTTCATCTTTTCTGAAGCAACATCTAATTATAAAAGTAAATAAATAGATGCCATACGAGATAGTGTTTAATTTCTCATAACTTCTCAGTTTCACTCACCTCCTTTTTACAAAAGCTTGTGGTTGCCAAGTTAGCTGTGGTGTCCCCTTTCACAGTAGTTTTCAATTTCAATGCCTAATACAAACAGATGTTTTCTTTAAACTGAGTTTGTGTCAGCAATACCCAAGCCAATGACTATATAAAAAGGACAATTTAGGACTAGAAAGTAATTCCAGTTTGGAATTCCTATACCATTTCAAGTAATCAGAAAAGAAGCACAATTCTGTACCCTGAACAAAGTCTGCATGAAGCACTAGAAGATTACTAGGCATTTTATCAGCCAAAATATACGCTGGCTGTTTTTTGTTTAGTTTTGTTTGTTTGTTTGTTTGCTTCTAAATGGAAACTCAAAATCAGAAAAGAAGTGTCAAACACAGCAACAGAGAAAAACCTCCACCTCAAACTATACAAGCTAATTATCTACACAATTTACTCTATAATCTAGCTGGACAGAATATCCTTTTATCAATTACACAAACTGGCCTTTTACTTGCAATATTTCCTAACAAATACTAAGTCAATCTATACGTGTGTGTGTGTGTGTGTGTCTAATATCTATCTATCTATCTATCTATCTATCTATCTATCTATCTATCTATATCTATCTGCATTGCCAGGTGTGCGAGGAACACATAGTCACAGGATCACAAATCCTTCCACTAGAAGTAACCACAAGGCAAGAAATGCATGAAAGATTAGGTTTCTCCAAAAGACAGAAAAAGACAGAGCACTCTTCTGCTTGGAGGCATAAAGCATCTGCTGCATGAGGTAGGGATAAACCTTTTAGGTTTGATCCTAAGGTGTGATTTTTTTCAACCTTCATTTAGCTTATGTATTATATAAATATTTGTACTTGTGTACATCAGGTGTTATAGATTAATACATCCATCTATATTTTATTTCAATGTAGCTTAGACTAAAAAACTATTTCTGACCACAGAAAACTGCATTAAGCCCTGACATAACTGCAGGTTAATCAAACTCTAACAGGGGGTGACATAACTGCATACCTGACCAAGACATAACTGATCCTACCTGACCAAGCCGAACGAACTCTGCTTGTCGAGCTTCCTCTTTTTTCCTTGTTGATTTTGGGGACTCTGGCAACACATCACTGAAGGACCTTCTATTGAGCACGTTCTAAAACAGAAAATGTTTCTTTTTTTACCCGAAAAGTTTTCAAAATCTTTTAATATGAAGTAACTCAATGTGACATCATTTATATTTTCTGGGTTTGTATACTTTCCTGTTGAGATGAATACAGCTGTACAGATTCTCAGAGAAGAGAAATTGCAACTCTTCCAATCTTTGAGCGCTTTACCTTCCAACTTGTCATAGTTTACCACTGTCACATTTTATACAATCATACCACAGACATGAATGTATGGGGGGAAAAAAAGTTTATGCAGATCTATTCAGGTAAGAATAATAAACAAAAAATAGCACCTTGTTAGTTTTAGAAGTATTGAACTTCTTTTTAGTTAGTTAGGAATCACCTTAAGACAGTAAGTCTTCATCTAAAATGAAGTAATCTCACTGCTACCCAAGGGTAAAAACGATCCAAATTTACACATAACAGAATGAGTAAATGCAGTTTTTATGGTGACAAGACTAATATCTGGATTTGCCTAAATTTCCTATTCCCTTGCTGCAGGTAAGCCTACACAAAGTATGACATTGTTAGGCTTCTCCTCTCACATGCTGAAGAGTCCTATCCACAAAAGACTGTCAACTTGCATATTACTGTAAATTCAGTTATATGACAATTGGTATTTAGCCTAGTTGTATGCAATTCAGTGCTCATTAAGATTACAGTCAGTTAAAGCAACAGAACATTTAACCTACTAGTGAGAAAAGGAGAGCACATGTGAAGGATGTGGAAACTTCTGACTTACATTTACCCTGTGCAGGTCAGGCATCATGTCTTGGTATAAAGAGCGAATCAGCATGTCTAGAGTGCGCTGACGTTTCTGAGAAAACGTTGGTGTTTCCAAGGTGGCTTTTTCACCATTTATTACTAAAAGATTATGGAAAAAAAAGATATATTACCTAAATGAACTTTGAAAACTTCCACTTGAGACAAGCTCCTGTCAGGTAAGCATCTATCTAATTGTAATCACCATGGTAAGTTCTCAAAGATTTCTTTGCTGCTGATTTAGAAGGGCAAATAAGAGTCAATGAAAACTCGAATCATTACAGAAGTCAAAAGTGCTACATAGGTGCCCTTCAGCACCTTTAAGAACACATTCAGAAAAGCTATTTTCAGGTTTTCAGAGCTACTAAATTAACACCTTCTATTACTAAACAATGAACAGTATTATAAATACTTTCATATCTCCAAGACCTTTACGAAAATGCAAAGCTAAATATGTCTGCACATTGTGCAAATGTAAAAGTCCATTTGAATTTAGTAGCTTGAGAAGCAGAGAAATTCAGGTTTTTGTTAATCTGACTGGACTGACTGGAACAGTTTGATGGAGCTGATATCCCACCAACGCCACAGAATTGAAAAAAAAATCTGTATACAGATCAGCAGCATACACAAGAAAATGTGCTTACATTTTAAGCATCATGAATTTAATTTGTTAAAGCACTTAATAAAAATGTTTCTAGCAGAAGAAAAACTGACTTACGTTTCACCAACACAAAATCCCTGAATTCCTGGTGATTTGTAAACACAGGTGGAGATGGAAGGGGAGGCCCAAAGAGAGGAACACTTTCTTCTGAAAATATTTTCAGCCTATTGAAAGGACAAATCTTTATCTATATTAAAGTAACATTCAAACCCTGCCTTTTAAAGAGACTATTTAGAACAGAAGAAAGAAATGGAAATTGTTTTCTAGGTATGTCTTATGTAAGAACTTCCAAGGGTCTAATAAAAAAGATTCACTTGAAATTACTCAGCAGAGCAAAATTATGCTTCCTTTATACAAACTAACACTGGAACATAAAGAATTAAAACAGAACCTTGCAGTTCGACTCATACAAAAATACTTTTAGTGGCAGAATGAGTTAAGGGAGGGAAAACCACAAAAAAACCCTACCAAAAAAATAGACTTCTTGAGTGACGTAATGTAAAAAGACATCCAAAGCAGAAATTAAGTGTCAGACATTACAGCAGCATTGCATTTGAAACAGAAACATTTGTCTCAAAAGCCTAGAGTATCCCCTGTCTTGTCTGACTGAAATTCCAGCCACTTGGAAGACCATCTTTCACACACATGAAAAAAAATAACAGAAGAAACAAGACTTCTATTCAGGCCCAAGATGAAAGGACAGAAGGAAATGTAATTAGGTCAAGCTGAAATATAATGTATTAAGCCTGCCATAGTACTGTGTGAAGACTGGCAGAATGAAGCAACTAAGGAATAAGAGGGACTGATCTAGTAAAAGCAATCAATTATTTACAGTGAGACAGACAAACTTATCTTATTTACTGTTAATCATTTTTCCTCCAAATAAACAGCAATATAAAAAGCACTTTATCATGGCTAAGCCCATCTACTGACTGTTTGCTTACAATCAGGACAGCATTCACTTCTTAAAGGGTAATGAGGGATGTATGGCCAAGTTTCTGTCCCAAAACCAGAAGAAAATAAGTAACTGCGCTTTCACTGCACACTGGAATCATGAGTGTGTTTTCTGTCTCTCTCAAACCTGGAAATGCTGAAAAGCAGAAACTATGAGGACAATCAATGTAAAAAAATTTGCAAGAGGATGGTCATAAGATCTTAGAACAAAATAAAACTAATCCTTTTGCTTAACTGCACTACAGGCATTTTCCAAAATAAACCCCAGCTATAAATAGGAGGCAGAGGATAAAACCCCACATATGCAAACTGCAGCATCATGCTGCTGGATTCTTCTCTGGAGCTAGACTTAATGGCATGCTGGAGAAATACAGCAATATGCAAAATTCCAGTATGTTTTAAGAACATGACATCCAACCATACAAGTACTCTATTAAGATCCCAAAAAATTAACTAGTTTGCTCAGCTATAACTGAACCCAGACCTATAAGGATATGCAGTCCATGCCTATCACAACATCACATCTAATTAATGTTCATCACACATGTAGTCCACTGTCACTGATTTCACCAGGTCAGAATGTTCCAGGCCTATCTTTCATAATTTTGTTACATTTCATCTAAAAAGCAGGTTTGGTTTTTGCCCTTAGGTTATGCCTGTTCCAGAAATAAATTTTTCTGATGGTTAGAAACATGCAACTTATAGCCAGTTTAGCACCATCTGCATTCAGGTCCACATTGCTCTCGAGTTTCTTGAGTTCATATGGCTTCCTGGCATACAGACAGGTGAACCTGTATGTACACTAGGAAGTTTTCTCACTGCTGAAATATCTTCCCATTTTCTCTAAACCATCAGATGTTCAGTGTGAAATTATTTGTTACAATCAGCACCCACCTGTAACTATCATTCTGCTTATTATATCTCACTAAAGCAAAAATATCTGCTGTGCAGTTAAGGAAGTTAATCCATTTCTAACAAAGTTCACATGTATTTTAATACACTTTTTCTTTTCTGCAGTACATTGCAGAGTTAATAGAGGTAAAATACATTAATCAATATAAATATATAGATCTTTCTAGACTGTACAGATGTTACTGTTTATAAAGGAGGTCCCATACAAAATTTTATTGTTTAATCAGCAGTTTTTAAAATCAAGCTAGTGCCACAAATACAGCATAAAACATGCTATAGATTTTGGTGCTTTATGCGTGCGTTTGATATTTTTGTGATTAAAAATACTTTTAGTTGATAAAAAATGTACTGATTCTGAACTTTCTTTACACCAAAACTTCCACTGAAGAAAAGATTCCAATGAAATAATTTAGCTAACAGAATTTTAAGAAAATAGAAGGAATGATTTAAAGTGCAAGAATACAAAAATGTATTACCAGTCTCAATTCATAAGTTCAGGCAAATCTGGGGAAAAAATAAATCTGAGAAATCCTTATGGTTGCCCAGCAAGTTTTATTTTTTTATGGAATCAAATAGAGGCATATTGCTTGGACAGATTTTCTTAACACCATCTCTTAAGTTTTCAGTCCTCATAAAGTATCAAAGTGTAAGTCTGAATAACTTCACTGGCTGTGTTTGTTCCAGATAGAATGAAGGCACTTAGCTAATAACTGTGATCAACAGTATCGGAGACTGAACAACAAAGAAGAAGGCAATATTCAGGCAAATGCCAATATTTAATGCCAAATTAATTTGCATACCTAACAAACATATTTATGAATTTATATTTTATGAAAAGCTATCAAATTTAAATTGTGAAGTGATCCAAATAGATGCTTTCAATAAAAACATGACTTTAAAATTACATTATTGCTTTGACCTAATCTTCTAATTGATTCAACATAAACATTGTTTTATGTTGCACACTCCTAGTCCAGCAGCTGAAGGTAAAGAATTTCTGAAATAGTTTTCACTTCCATAAACAACACGCAGGAAGGACTTAGAGTAGAATTACCAGTAGTACTGATCTTTAAAAAAATAAATCATTACAAAATATAAGGAAAAAAGATACGTGTAAAATGAGAGCGAATCATGGATGGCTTGAAGGCTGGAGAAGACTCTTCACCTTCCTGAAATACGATAGTGACAATGTCATTTCCAATATGTCGCTTCCTTTCTACCTGGAAAAAAAATCAAAAAAGAAAAAAAAAAAAATAAAAAAGGGACGGACACAATGACTTAAAAGACATAAATAAATACCTTAACAATTCTGTGAGAGAATGGCAAAATAATATTCCTAATCTGCAAACAGAATAATTATGGCCAATATAAAATTATTACTTAAGCAAGTAAACCTAGCAATGTCATGGTGCACGCACAAGGCAGGTGCTGGAAGAGCAGATACTGTGTATTTGTAAGTTAATAAAGCACTTATGGTTTCTCTAATTTCCATAATTAATATTCACATATTGGACATGGAATCCTTAGCATTTCAAGAAAGCAAATCTGCGACTTGAAATAAAAGGAAAAAAGCTCCCATGCTGGAGCTTTTATTCTATGAAAATAAATGTCCTGATTGGCCTCTGTTTTCTTCTGTGATCTTGTCATCAATCCAAGGAAGAAACATGAGAAAATCACATAGAAATAAAAAAGGAGAATATGATTACATCACCTAACTATATTACTGTAATAATACATAATAAACCAAGTAAATCTCAAGTAATTTTAGGTAAATCATTATGGATGCATGATGTGTAGTAAATGCATGTGCTTATAAAATAGTTTTTCATCATGTAATACAAAGAAAGGTTCAAGAAATTCCTAACAGTCTATCTGAACAAGAACCCACCTAGCTGATCTAGATGGGTGTGACAGCTATGCTTTGGAGCAAATGCTGCCATTGACATGCTCACCCGGGGAAGTTCTTTCAAGCTGTGCTAATTGCTGCCTTAGTATGAGTTGTCTGTTACACATGTGAATATTCCTACAATTCACACACAAGGCTAATTTCCAGTTTTCCTAAATTCTTTGAGGTAATGATAATTGCAGCAGTGCAGCTCTTCAAGTCATCTGAATAGCACAAGACTCAATCACTTTTTAGAGAAGCAATTTTGACCTTCTCCACCAGTATCTTTTGTACCTTAATAGAGATGATAAGATGCAGTATTTCTAACAAATATCATGACATTTTCATCATTAGGTATAATAGTGATGAAAAAAATACCAAAACTCTTAAGGCTTACATTTCTAAAATATTTTTTCTTCTAAAGTTTTGGAGCTTGCGATTTAATAAGTAAATAGTGAAAAAAAGGAAAAGAGAACCATGTACCTGCTGCTTGTTCTCTCTAGAATATGGTAGCATGGTTGAAACATGGAACATAATTTCATGCCCTTGAAAAACTGTATAGATAGAACAGGTTCCTGTTGTATCATCTGCAAGAGAAGACAACATTCTCAGTAGGAACATGTCCTCTAAGTTTCCTAAAGATCAAAACATTTTTCAAGTCTTTCTACCAAATATTCTTTAGTTACCTGTTTTTTCCCATCTATTTTAGAAAATGTCCACGCTGCATGTTTTATGTGGGTCCAAATCCAAGTTTGCAACTAAGCTGCATTATTCACACTTAAAACCTATGACATCCTTCACCTGACCTCCTGAAATCACACACAGTTCTTCAAGTCATGATGTCTTACTATCATGAAGCAACTAACATGCCTGCTTCAACTTAAAATGAAACCATTCACCTTGAAAATGCAGGTCGCGTAATACTTTTCCTCAACTGCATTCTACACCAGTGACTGAAGCTAACCTGACCTTTTCATGGTGAAGCAGAGCATTTAGCATGTACATGAGGAAGTCTGCTTTGGGATTATATTATAACTCCAAGATATACAATATGTGCATGTAGTAAGAAAAAACATCTATGCTGCAGCATCCCCACCTTTACTGCTTCAGAGGAGTTCTTACTTTTAGTGTCCAGTCCTCCTCTGTAGCCTGTCCAGCCTTTCAAAGTAATTGTGTCACCCAAGAGATGCAAAAATCTTTGAAAGCTTTCACTTCCGGTTTCTACATGTGGGAGGGAGAAATGTTACAGAAGAAAAGCACACACAGTAATAGAACATATATGAAAAATAATCAAAATACAGAAACAGGTCCTACTTCCAGTACACAAGGACCTAAGTTTCAGCTGAATCTCTTCATGTCATCCAAGCCTTCTACCTTTCCAGAAATAGCATCACAGCCTTGAAGAATAGGCATCATCATGTGACATTAAACAGTAACCCATTTTGCTAATGCCAAGACACTGTTCAAGTCCATAGGAGAATGTGATCACACTGCAAAAATGTAGGAGTTAAAGAACTAGAAATAACAGTGAGTTAACATGAGTTGCATCCTTCAATTGCTTTTTTCTGAATGTTATGTTGCATTGTCTATTTTTAGAAAAGAAACGTCACTATCTTCCAAGTTTTAATAGTAGGCTTCCTACAGCAACTTTTTATAGAAATACAAGGTTCTATCCTACAATTTTTCACCCAAAAAGAACACAAGAACCTAACAAAACTAATGTTCACATAACCATTACCTGCCTTCTGGCTTCCATGTGTAGGCACTACCTTTTTTTCATTCAGACGAGTAAAACAATTAAGAAAAAAGTGAAAACTCACCATTGCTGAACATTTCATCATCTGTAAGCTGACCATCCTTAGCATAAAGGACTCCAAATTTAAAATTCACAGATCCCTGAGAAATAAAACCAAATACTGTATGATAAACAGACAATCAAACAAAACCCAAAAAAATGTTCTCTGAGGACTTTCATATATGGACCTTTGCATATATCCTATACACGGGAATATACGTTTTATACCAACTCCTTAGACCTAACAATTTACCTTTAAACTTTTATATATAGCACCTAAGTTAGTAAACTGTTAATATGAGATATTAAGTTGGTGTTTAAGATTATTTTTTATCTCCTATGTTTCAAAAAAACACATTTTTCACTGTAATAAGCAATTGATTTCTAAGTTGTCACAAGGACATCAGTGCAAACCGTTGAAATACAAAGCTGTATTCACTGAATGGGTCTGTGAGCTAGGAGTGGTAAGTTTACATTTACCTCTTGCTCTTCAAGAACCAATAAATCCTGTAAACAAAAACAGTATCTTTAGCACACTGGCATGAAAGATAAGACGAATAAAACTAACATCCTTATATATTCAAGCTTTGATTTCAAGTGGGCAGTTCAACTGATAAAGACAGTTTAAGTAGTATCACATACTCCTACTCATCATTATTATCCTGCTACGGAAAGAAACAAACTAGTAGCATTTATTCTTAATTACTTGTATTTTCAGAAAATAATAAAGAAATACAACCAAATAAAAAAGCCACTTCCTACCTTTTGTATCTCAGGATGAAAAATCTCCCTTGGGCTCTTCTCAAATTTTTCAAGACTCATAGCACTGAAATGCAAATTAAATACTGGTTTACAGAAGGGCAAGTAACATTAAACCACCAACTGCTTGCAGTTAGAACTGGATACAAAATGAATTGTCCAAAGAGCCCCTCTTATATGGATTTTTTTTTGCGCCTGCCATTTCCTTCCCACAATACTAACCTCCAACACATTTGGATTTTAAAAACAAGTAAGACAGACCCTGGGTGGAGATCAGGTTTAAATTTATACCCTTATGAAGCACAGAGCTTTATTCCATCACCCTTCACTTTGGCTTTAAACATAATCATTGTGAGCATTTTAGGAGGACTCAGTAACCTATTCTATTTTTAAAGCTTTTCTTCTCTCTCTTCTAAAATAATTCCAGGCAAGTCAAATGAAAAATGAGAAGCTCAGCATCAAATTCACACAGCAAAGACCCACCAACTGGACAGGAAAGGTATTTAAATAAGAAGATCAACTGCCTCAATAAACAGAAATATCAAATTTATAGCATTTTTTCCTAACTCATGTTTTGTACACCCTATTTTGCCCCCAGGCATTAAGTTCTAGAACTGTGCAGCATGTCATGGAGTGCCAAATGCAGTCGGTCTGGGGCACAACAAACTAACATGGAGGTCAAACCTTTCCATTGTTGTTTATGCCAGACCACAGCGCAGACATGATTTGCTTTAGTTCCTTTTGAAAGGGATTAAAATGTTCCAATCAATTTAGAAAAACACGTTTATGCAACCAAATTCTTTCAGACAGTCTGTACCTACATGCACACCAGCTGTGAACAGGTTGAAATGTCAAAGGAATATCAATCAGGCCTGAGGGATGGCTCAAGAACCATAAAAGCAAACAAATAGTCACGGAAGAGTTTTCAGTCCAAACTGAAGCAGGCAAAAGGAGATGACATCAATGCAGCTGATTGTATGTGGCACAGACCCCAGGAGAAATGGGGACCAAGGCTTGAAACAAGTCTACATCTTCCTCTGTAAAACACCAGATCATCACAGGGTGGGACATGAGAAGGTGTTTCAGCAAAAGAGTTACGACCCTAGCTAAGAGATGACAAAGTTTCTCCATTTGGGGATGCCTGACCAAAAACTTGGATGTGTGTGAGAGAGGTGGGAGAGGCTGGGTTGGAAAGCGACGTTACGAAGAGGTACTTCAGTGACTGGTGGGCAGACATGGAAAATCAGGCGCTTATGCAGGTACAGAAAGCAGGACAGACAACTAGGTACACTAGTCAAGTCAGTGCTGTAGGAGTTAGTAGAGGGCACTTAGCTCATCTAAATGAACAAGATGAAAGACATCTGAAGTTTTTTCAACTCACTATCTTGACACTCCAACACAGAGCCACAGCCCAGGAAATCAGAATTAGGAAGTGAGGCTCAATGGCCTGATAGCCTCTCTGGAAAAATCAGCAGTCTGAAACCTCTCATAAACCTTGTGCAGTAGTAGGAACACCCATATCTGTTGGTAGTGACTTCACAGCACAACACATGCCCTGTTACCAGAATTCCTCTCTCACAGAGGCACAAGCATTTTAAGTAGTCACTTCGCCTACTCCAGAACAGGCTTTAAAATCACTTTTTGCTGCCTTCAACGATTAAGATTTGCAAAACTGGTTTTACTGTTTTTATAAATCTATCATGAAAACCATGGAACACAAGCTCTGAATTACAGGAAAAGGCATACAGGCAAATATCTTAATTGGTAACTTACTTATAAACACATACCTTAATATAGATTTCACTGATAATGTTTTTGTGGGACTGTAGGGGAGACATATTTTCTGAGTACCCTATAAAGAGAAAAAGCTAGGATGTATTACAGGACATACCAATTTTTCTGTATATTCAAGTAGGAATATTAAGTAAAAAAAGAAAGTAAAAAAACAAGAAAAACCTGAGCTGGTTTTACTTAGCTAAATTTACTGCTCATTTGGAGAAAAAAATAATTCATGGATGTTGCAACAACAAAAAACAGAGTGAATCATGCATGCCTACAGGAGAGTTTTAAATTAATTGTTTGGGTAAAAGGCTCTGACAGAACATTAAGTGAAAAAAAGTAATTAAACAGTATTTGTGAAACCAGTATCACACCTGCCTATTTTCTTCTTGTTGTATAAGAAAATCCTAAAAGCGGTATGAGGTCATTGCCTAAATTGATCACAAGACATAATCAAGAATAATTTAGGCAACATTTCTTAAAAAAACAAAGCACAGAGCTGCAGGTAAGAACTATTAAAAAATATCTGACATTACAGAGCTCTGTGAGAAGGTTTAGTATACTGTTATCTACACAGCTGTTTAATCTACTGTGGTAGGGGTGTATGTTCTTATTGTATAAAATGAAAATACATAATAAATACTGAAACTCTAAAGAAAGAAAAAAGTGTATTATAAACATATCACAAAAAACCCAAACAGAAGTCAGAGCAGCAATTAAATATTTCTTACCGTTTTTCTCCAAAGGATCGAATGGTATTGAGGAATGCGCTGATTATTTTGGTCAGACAGTACGACGGACAGAAAGAAAGGGTTCTTCTCTGCATCTGTACCTATGTAATTCTGATGAACTATCGGAGAAAAGTAAGCAGCAGTATCAACCATAAAGAATACCACACACCCATACCCACCTACCCATACCGACATACCCACTCGTGCACAGAGTTAGAGAGATGCGTCAATGTATGTCTTCATATGTAAAAATACTTAACTGTCTTCATAAATATGTATTTATATACAGATGCATAATAAAAAAGACCCCAAGAGACAGGTACAGCCTTCAAAGCCAAGAAGGGTTTCAAAACATCCCTTTCTGGTAGCAGGGTTCCACTGCTTACAGAAACCCAACCACTGTCTTCAGGTTAAAAACACATGAAGCAAGAATTTTTTTTCTGTACAGGACAGAAAATGTATTAAGACTAAATTAACACCATCCTTTCTTTCATATTGAAATAACAGCAATTCAAAGCTACACTACATTTCCACTGATCCAAATTTCAATCCATTCACAGAAATTATAATTACCTTTCCCTAAAAAATATTTGAAATACCATCTTGTATGATACTCTGGGTTTTCCAGATGCACGTCCGTTCTGTGCCATGTACCCGGAGTGCAGCCTGCATTCTGAAATAGAATTGGGAGACTGTTAGATCGAATGCCAAGTGACAAAACAGGACAAAATACAGGCAAAAGCCAATCACGAGCAGCTGATCCACCTGAAGTTTTAGCCATACACTGCTTTTTAAAAAGCAAGAATTATTCTGAAGTCAGTTGATGTGTAGCTCAAATAAAAACTTTTCCCCCTCTTTTTCTGTTTTCTTTCTGAGTAACTACAGTCTTATCTTACTGTACCACTATTACAGGTAATAGCTTAGAATTTCAGTGAAAAGAAGGTATTTCACTGTTGAATTTGAAGATAAACATTGTTAGAACTTAAAACTAAATAAATTAATAAATGAAATTCTGCCTCCAGGTATCATTTTCTCAATTCTTCCCAAAACAATCCTCAAGGACTCCTTGCTAGAACAAAGCATGCCCTGGAAGAGGTCTTCAGTGTTGTTTCTGGATTGGGCAGTTAAAGGTAAATTCCCAAGCGTTCAGGTCCTTTTCTGCTAAGAATTAACATATCCAAAGCAAAAGCCATTCTCCATATTCATTCACCATGTGGCCATTCATCACCAACTCAGAATCTTTCTGCAAATACAAGTTAATTAGCTTGTGAATTGCTTGAAACTGAACTACGGAGTACAGAACATGACCCCACAGAGAATCGCAGCAGAACAGTTAGTTACGACTGCTTTTAGCTCTACACCCAGTGCTGATGCAAACAGATGATCAGTAAGAGTTTGCTGTTAAAATTACTTCAATACAAGCTTATCAAGACCTCATTTAAAAAATAAGAAGTCTTCTTTATCTCAATACTAAGATGGCATTTACAGATGAAAAAGTTTTGCAAAGGAAGACAGAAAATGAAGGTAAGTGGAAGCCTAAGTGTCACTAGAGTAGCTGCAGGGACACACTGAGTTTAGCAGCACAAGAATCTGGAGGGAATGACTCTCTGAGGCTCCACTCAACTTCTATTATCTCTTATTTAAGATCACCACAGCTGCCAAAAGACAACTAAGGGGGAAAAATGAAGCTATAACCTTATTAACCAAGGAGCAAACTTAGAAGCACAGAGGTCAGCTTGAACATAGCAGTATCACCAGGACACCATTATCATGTGATGAACTAGAGACTACAAAGTGTTATTCAGAGGATAAGATTGGTATTTGTCTTCTACCATAATCAGGTAAGCAAAATTTTACCAAAACAAAACGTCAGCTATTCCCTTATAACTGAAACTGTCAAGACAGCATACTCTTGAAAAAGCAGCTAAGCTAGTCGGGGGGGGGGACGGACAGGGACAGACGACACACCCACCATCTTCCTCCTCTTAGACTCTTACATTCTCATATTATTCAGCATTTTCCAAGTCCTCTTCCATAGGTAATTGACTGCAAATGCATCTTTCAGTGGTGAAGAATTACTGAAGCTGAATTATTTTTTCAGCTTTCTATGAGTATTTTTAGCCACTTACCTCACCAGAGGACCCATTTTCCACACGGAACCGTCCAGCTTTTTGAATGGCCCCATCAGCATCACTAGATATAAGCTATAAGAGAGTTTAAGATAAAGAGTCTAGTTTCAAAAATATCCATAGGATCAGCGATCGAAGCTTACTACCATTTCTTCTTGATCCAGGCATCATATGACTACCCACAGAAAAGGGATCAGCCCACCTACTACCAATCTGACTATGGATTTTGAATGAATGAAAAATACTTTTTTTTTGACCCATTAAGAACTCCAAGGAGACATGAATGGGAGAGAGGTTCACTCTTTTGGTAGATCCAAGTACTAGTCAGAAATTCTTCTGTCACAGATTTTGGCTACACCAACACACAGTACTCGTACAGAGACTTGCCCACTTTCCAGAAATCATTCTTGCGTTATCAGCCTTGCACAGCCTAAAACTCTACTTGTTGGCAGTACCACTGGGACTAGCAAATATTTTACTGCATTTTATTTATTTATTTATTGATTGATCGATGTTTTCATTTATTGATGCTTTCAGTAAACAGAGCAAAAAGAACCTCTAAACATGATATTCAGCTATGATGCTGAACAACATAAGGTACAGGAGATGTCCTGGCCTGTTTCTAGCACTAACATCAGAAAAAAAGGTTTGTTTCCAGTTGAAGACTTCAACAGTTTCATAACTACTCTGGAAAGACCACCTGGTCTTTTTATAAGGGAATCCAGGGATTCCCAGAACACTGAAACTCTCTCTGTTCCTAAAGAAGCTCTTGAGGACTCAGTAAAACAAAGGATAACATGGTAATTCTGATGTGTTCTGACACACTGCTTAGGATCCCTACAAGAGACGGAGAGAAAATGCTACCAATGACACTGCATATCACTCCTCTCAAAACTGAAAAAAAAAATAAAATACGAGATTTCACATACACCAAACTTAGGAAATGGGATCTGAACAACAATAAGGCAATGGTGTATCATTCCTTGTTTCCCTTGAGTAATCTATGTCATTTTAGGATAACACCTTCTTTCTTTACTTGGTGGAAGAGTTATCACAGCATTTTGAAGTTTTCTTCGCCCCTTGCTTTGAAGCAATCTCAGGCTGTGTCAGGAATAAACTAACATGGCAAAACTCCAATACACCCTAGTTCCTTGTATAAACTGTAAGAGAAATTGTACAGACAACTGGTACATCAGTGAGAAAGATACAGGAAATATGTTTAGGGCAGAGACAAAATGATTTAGAAATAATTGAGCAATTGAGATGCTGCTGTGGAAAACATTAAGCAAGAAAACTCAAATATTAAACATTTAGAAATTTGATAGGGCAACAATAACCTTTACACATTTGAACCCCAAAACATAAAAAGACACACATTCATAAAATACTAGCAGAATTTTAAGAAAACCAAGCACAAGACAAGACAATTTGTATGAGCTTCCTGTGAATTTAAAGTTGAAATTAATTTTTTTCTTTTCCAGCAAGAGTCTAAGTATTAGTAACGAAAGAGCCTCTTTTAGCAGAAACATTTCACTTGCATTTTTTGATTGAAACACCACATCTATTATGTGGAATGTATGGAAAGAAAAGAAAGATACCTGGAGTTCCTGCTACGCAACTTCCAGCAACTAAGCCACCAAATCACACCCAATTTACATACATATTAATAAATATACTACCCAAGAACTTTGAATTACAACTATAGCTAGTAGAAAATGATTCTTCCCACAGCAAGAGAGCTAGAGTTCATCTTCTTTAGTCTTCCACACTTTTGCTTTCCGGGGTAAATTTCATTATGGTTTTGTAATCAGTGGCACTATTTTAACCGCTGACATACTGCTATTTTCTCAGCAGTGAAGAAATTTATCTATGACAAAAACAAAGTGCCAATTTAATATCTGAATTTGAGGAAAATGCAGAGTAACTTGACAGATTTTAGGGAACAGTCTTCAATATCCTTATTCTGACTAGTTCTTTTAGTTTTAAACTCTCTCCCACAACTCGTGAGGTATGCAAATCTAAAACTACATACATATGTACACACATGAGCATGCACACAGTTTATAAATTACATAACTGCAAGTACTTCATTAACTACTACCCTAATATTTTGTAATCTTCCACTCATAAGAGGAATAAAGGCTCAATTTCCCTCTGGAGGTAAACACAATATTTATATAATACTTCCTTGTCCTGTTGTAATGGAATATTCATAAGCAAGATAGTAAAAGGTTTTTCTAGCACAGATCTAATATACTTATTCTGAGGTCTCTTTTATCAGTCTATAACTGTCAAATCCAGCTTAGAAAGCACATTTTCTGAACTAGATCCATTTTTTTTACCTGGAAATGAAAAGGACTTGAGCTCTGCACTATATGCTGATAAATGTAAGGACAGGCTATGTAAACTTACGAGCTCCACAGATCCGTAATGCTTTCTGCTGAACTCTCCGCGTCTGCCACCCAAATCTTCAGAGACAGAGCTGGAATAGAAACATTTCATCAGCGTATACGAGTCAACTAGGCTACAATTTCCTGCAATGCTATACCCTGCCATTAAAAAAATATCCTTCCTGCTGTACAAGGTTCACAGCATATAAACTCTTTACACTCATTACAGGATGCAAAATGTCTAGCAGCCATTGCAGTCCAGCTTTCATATCATCCCCAAAGGAAAAGAAATGTCCGTGTCGTGACTGGAGGCAAAATACATGATCAAGTATTTAGGCATGATGCAATCAGAGTTCCAAAGCAGGTGGTGGCTTATAACCACGTTTGAACTCTAAGGGAAGAAAAATCTGCAGTAAATTTAATGCCTCAAATAGGACAACTGCACTATACTCAGTAAGACCACATTTAGTATGTTGCTACTTATTTTTTCAGACTCTCTTCAGACTACACATGCAGAGAAACTACACAACTACACTTAACTCAAAAGTGTAGCAACAGCATTTCATAGGTTTCCACCCACTACCTTAACAAAGACAGAACTGTCGAGAAAGCAAAATACTCCTCGAATGTGAAGTTCAAGATCTACCTGCATTATCACATATCATCCCATACCATCATGCCACATTAAGCACCACCTCCTGTAACTACAACCACTAAACCTCTTGCCTCTGCAATGGGGATGTGTTACAGATACAAGCTAAATAAAGATTTAGATGGAAATTTAACATGAACCTTGATTACCCAGATTGTACCAGGGCAAGCAGGTCAATCCCTCCATCATATTCCAAACTTACAGTTCACCATTCATTCAGCAGTTATCAAAATATTTAGTTTTAATGGGAAAAAAAACCCTCAACAAAACAAGAAGAAATTCTCCATCTAGGAATTAGATTAAATTTTCTGAGAATTATCAGTACTGTAAATTGCAATGTTACATTGATAAACAGAAGAAATAGCTAAATTTTCATGCAACATCATCATGTGTGCTTCGTGACTGTAGGAAATACTGAGACCAAGGAGCCTGAAACACTAATTTTTACACAGGTTTTCTATTTGGTTTTGTAGGTACTTCAAGTTTACTAAACATAATTCCTATTTCTGAGTTCTGCCCACTTGGATTCTGTGTCTTAACCGAAGGAGAAGGAATACATACAAGACATATCTAATGAAGCTGTAAAACTCCCCAAAATAATTTTAGTATTTACTTCCAGTACATAAATTATGTGGGAGGGATAAGAACATGACAATAACATCATTGTAAATGACCCCCACACAGAAGCAAGAACGTATGCTGCTGCAACAACGGAGCTGCCTTTCTAACTTTGTGTGCATAAAACCTTCGGATGACGCTATTTCTTCTAGATATGCTTCCTCTGTCAGTTGCCTTTCAGCCTGATCCCTCATCACACAAGCACATCTACGCTGCTTCCTAAGCAAAAATGACTGTGCACAACCAGTTTCACCCCTGAAGGCGATGAAGCCGTTTGCCTGTGTTCTGAAACCTCAGGGGATACATGCATATATATGCCACAGCAGCAGTAATGCAAATGACTTGTGGAAAACTGCCTACAAGAAGAGAGGTCAATCCACATTAGATGCATTTTTTATAAGCTCCAAAGCGATCCCTCAGGTGGAAGTATTATGAACTAAACACATATACAATGTTATAAGCTTTCAGCACACAGCTGCCTGCACAATGAACTTATGTTTGACTGGGGACAGTTATTAATTGCAACTTTCCTCAGAATCAGCATGAAATTGCTTCCAGGAAAACAGTAAGTTTCTGTATCATAAATCTGCACAGCAGAGACAGAAGATGTTTGTGATACAAGAAGCAACTGGGGTTGGGTCCTGATGTAGGAGCCCTTGCCATCGAAGCCACTACAATTTGATCTCATTTATGATGTGTTGTTTGTAGACCACAGTATTTCAGAGCCTTACCATACCTGAGATCAAAACTATAAATGTTAAAGCCTGCAGTTCAAACAGCTTGCACTCTAATTGAAGGTACTAACAATACACCTTTTCCCCTCACAGCAGGGCAGAAAGCAGACGGAGACTCAAAACAGTTTTAAAAATTTAGAGATACATAAATTACCAATAAGCCACAACAAGAGTCAGTTCCAGTGAGTAAGGCTATTTCAGGTTGCCACCTGAAAAAAAGACTGCCCTGAAGATGGAATTTTCAAAATCTCTGACAGTACATCTCTACTTATCTTTTCACATTCTCTACCTATCTTTTCACATTTGTGACTCCATCTTAATGTTCTTAAGTCATGAAGTCTGAGCATCCAGGAGTAGGTTCAAATCTTAAGCAACTGCACAGCACAAAGCCTTCATGTCCAATACTTTTATACACCTACCACTAGTACTGTTGGGCCTTTGAGTGAACCTTGCCATGAAATACTGCCACGCTGTTGCACAGAAGTTGTAGCACACTTCACAGCTCCTTCTGAGCCTGCAACACAGAGAAGATGGCCCAGAGTAGTGGTAAGAGTGAAAGCACCTGCATCTCAAATTTATGTTACAGTTACCTTCTACTTTATGTGTTTTTGTAGCAATAATTGACATAATAATTCAAAGTGCATTTGGATAATCGCTTTTCACCCTATTCCTACATGCTATTTCCAAGGAAATCCTGCATATTTTACATTTTATTGCAAATCCATCATCATCTTCCATCTTTCCATCAACTGAAGGGAAGTATAAAAAAACCCCTTTAATTCAGGATTGCTTGTCGTAAAGGAAAATATTTAAGCTATTACTCATGAGTTCTCATCTTCTGCTCTCAGAAGGAAACACACAAATTTAGCTAACAAATCTCTGCAGTTATTAAGTAACATAGAAGTATTTCAAGATTAGCATCTATACAGACAAAACTGAGGACATCTGATTTTCTCTTCCCGTCCAGATATAACAAAGAGTTCCCAAGTTCAGTTTTGCATTGGCTGAAAGTGATCCTTTGCCTTTTCACGTGCCTCTGAGAGAATTTTGAAAGTTCAGATAAAATCTGAAAAGCAATAATGCACTGAATGCAATTTTTAGAGTTCCTGCATTTTGAGATACAGCCGAAATTTGCCAGATGCTTCACAGAACAAATGGAATGCCTCATTTGCAATGTACTTGAAGGCACTGTGGATTTTCATTAGTTTTTTTCACTTTTACAGAAAAATCAGTTAATCGTGGTAGCACTAGTGGGGGGATTTTTTGCCACCTTTCTTCCACAAAATCCTTTTTTGTGACTAGGTGTGCTAGTTGCCTTAGAAACCACCGTAAAAGCAATTCAGACCAATAAATATTTGGTGCTGTCCGCACTGCTGGCAGACATCTGGACAACTCCAAATGCAAATATAATACAAATTAGAAAGTCACCACAAAGAGTATTTGGTCTAGTGTGCTTTGAACAGAACCATCTCCACCTGGATAATTGGTAGAGATTTTCATCAGTTGTGCAATAGCTCCATAAAGCAGCAGAAAAAGCAAACTGAGGTTTATAAAACTGAACTTTCTGCCTGGTGGCAAAGCAAACCTCAAAATGCATGAAACTAGCGGAAAATGCCATCTCGTGAATTACCTGCATGATAAACCCAGGGAGTTATGCAAGCATCTGATAACTATCTGCATACACAAACTAAGTCCTATACCTTATTTTGGTGATATTTCAGCTGAGCGAAAGTCAGGCTATCTCAGAAAAAAAGCATACTGAGATCAGAGGACATGAACGCTGCTGAGGTAACTAAGTCAGTAGCTAACAAAACGCTTTACAAAATAAAATGCAAAAGAGTATTCAAAACCAAACACTGCATAGAACTGTGAAATGGATATAGGTATAGAACACGTGAATGCACTCATATAACAAAACACTGGTTATTGAGTTAAAGGAGGACACGACATGAAAATCGTTAATTTAGAAATACAAAAAGTCAAAATATTTACTAAGGTCTGGCAGCCCAAGTAAAGAGCCTGGAAAGTGATATCCAAAACACAGAGGCAGAATTAAGAGCAGACCAAATAGATCGTTAAGACACATACCAACAATGACTACTGCAGTAACATCTCCCAACCAGAGTGTCAAACAACAGACTTAAGGTGCAGAGTTACGTTTGGGTTCTAATATAAAAATATCTTTTTTCCCCTCAGTGTGGAAAAGATCATTGTCCTCCACACTCTGTCAAGATGTTCTCAACAGTTCTTCTAGCAAAGTGTGAGAGGCCTGTTAGCTCAAAGAAAGGTTCACAGTAGAAACTCCCTGACGACCATGAGAGAGAGGATGCTGAAGGAAATCCTCTGATCCACGAACTCATGGCTTACCTGCACTTAGAAATACAGAGCTCTTCACAATGGTGTGATGTCTACAAAACTATATATACACCACATGAATATCTCCTCTCTTTGGGACTCTCAAAGAAACCCTTTTTATCTAAACAATTTCAGTATGATTATTAGATTTTTTTTAACATTTCCATAACGGCAAGCCATAAAATAGCTGCCTTCAGGAGACACTTCAACATTTCACTAGCTTCGCCTGGTGACAGAATGACAGGCAACAGGGCTGCATCAGAGTTCTGTCACTGCACAGACGCAATGATAAGCACACAGACAGAAGCCAAGAGCAGTATACATAAAATAACGAGACAGCACCGTCTCATTCTGCAAGGAAACCGGCAGAGGCTTCACATCACTGTTCATCGGGTCTTAAGCAGTTACTGCATATACCACAGCCAGCCTCCAGTGCAATCTCACAGTCACAGACATTTACGGTGGCACAGGTGAAAAGGAAAGGCATGATATTCACACATGCCTTGTAACGTGAATCCACAGGACTCCATCGCAGCCCAAATACCTAAGATCTATTCCCACTTAGTGTACAGAGATTTGCAGATGCAGCAAGTCAGGGTGTATTCATCAAATGATGCAAAGAACACCAAGAATAATGCCACTTTAATGGGAGAAATAATCTACTTTCTTAGACCACGTGACAGATGGAATACACAGACAAGCTCAGAAAAAGCATTTAGAACAGTTTGTGCATCTGAAGGGTTTATGCTCCTA